AATACTCTATTGCCAATACACCTTAAAAATACCATAAAATGAAAAGTATATTAAATAATTTTGAAAAGACTAATTCACATATCTGAAGCATAGTTCCTTTACTAAATTAATGTTCTTCTAAGTCAGTTATAAATCTTGCCTGCCATTTAAACCAGTATTCCAAAGCTATTATTTAAATGTAGTTAAACCAGCTAATCTAATATGATGCTTCACATGTGCATGGAAAAGTTAAAATAATTTGTCCGCCATAGACACATGTTTGAGTTCATCTTAGAAGCTACATAGCTACAGCATAATTATTTTTTTCCAAATCATGTTTGTGAACCTGGATACTAACTCCCAGACACTGTGTGCAAAGAAAAATGGGAACAACAGACTGAAGTTGGGATTGATTTACTTCATTAGCTGGGATTACAAGTTTAACTTACAAACCAGAGGTCAAAATTTCTCATTAACAAGGGGGCCATGAATTGCTGCAGGGCTTGGTTCAAGAGGAGACCACTCTTATTACTAACTACACATTTCAATCTGTCTTTGATGTTCTCCTTCTACCCTCCTCCCTTTTATTTTTTGGCAGAGGAGTTGATTTTAATTGTAGCTATACAACACAGCTCAGTTTGCCTGAGAGCCAGCCTCCACATCTGCAGTGAGTGCAGTTCTAGTGATATTGGGTGCAGTCCATAGCTTAGGGCTAATTTTAATGGCTCCCCTTTTCATACAAGGCTCAGATTGTTTTCCACGTGATTCCTGTTAATTTAGCTGCAGGAAAGGGCATCAGTTTTCCTTGTGAGTTTCTGATCCATACTCCTAAACTAGGTGAAATGTATTAAAAGAGAGAGAAATGATCACAAAATGAGAGTTTCAATGTTCTAACTAACTTCTTAAACAGGAAAACCAAATAATCACATTTTTAACAATCCAAACAGAAAAATGAGGTTTAAATTATTTTAAAATCTGTTTGTTTTTTGAGAATCCTTTCATTTATGAAATGCTAAAATGAAGCTCTTGCTATATTTATGGCTTCTAAATAATGCCAAGGGTTAAAAAGCGGAGGAGAGGGGAGAAGAGGTATTAAATATCTACATACTACAGAGTGCTCAGAACCTCTGGATTCAAACTAACATTTTACAATACCTACCCTTTATGAAAGAGAAGTGCTTACAAATAAGACTTCGATATATGATGGAAGCAGATAGTGTAGTGTTCCACAAAATAATAAAATGTTCAATATATAAATTTTACTTCTGAAGAACTGCAATAAAAAAAACTGAAAACACACAAAGATTGAGTCATTTCGTACTAGAGATGTCAACGTGTAGTTGACTATATGATTCATCAATAAGCCGGGTTCATTGGTTAATCTTGTTGACTACATGCCCCCCCTTGCTGCCTCTGTATCAGAGGCAGAAATGTGGGGAGCGGGAGCTGGTGCTGTGAGGATCTGGCTTTACGCAGTCTCCCCATGAGCACCAGATCTGTCTGCCCTCCACCAGCCCCATGCTGCTGCCTCTGATAGAGAGACAGCAGTGCAGAGAGTGAAGGAAGTAGGCTGGAGACAATAGACGCAGGTAAACTGGCTTTTAAGCCAGTTCCCCATGCATGCTGGCTCTGTGGACTGGCCTGTCCTCCCTCTTGCTGCCTCCTACAGAGGCAGCGAAAAGAACCAGTCAGGAGCTGGTGCTAGAGGGAACTTCCTTAAAAGTCAGTTCCCGTGGTGCTGCCTGATCCCCTTCCCCCACTGCTGCCTATCAGAGGAGGCTGCCACAAAGCAGCCTCTGTCCACGATGGCCCAGACTCCCTGCAGCAGCCCCTCTCCACGGGGG